CAGGCGTCGTTCCGAATTCCCCTCTTCCTATTCCCCCTCCCTGCCCGCGTTGTTCGCAAGGCTTCCCGGGAATTGTAGTTCCCACGCCGGAGTTGGACTTCAGCTCCGGCGGAGAAAAAGACTGCGCTTCCCAGCAGGCTTTGCGGCCGGGAAGGATTCCCCCGCGAGGGGGCTGGGAAGGAGTGGCCGCCCAAGTGCGCAGGCGCGAAGGTGGACCCGTGTGCAGGCGAAGCGAAGGCAAGCAGGCAGGTAGGGCGGCTCGCCTGGACGCCCCCCCGGGTCTCTGGGGCGGGGGGACCCCGCTTCCCTGGGCCTCTCTTTAGGCCCGTCTTCCCGTCCGTCGCCTGGCTAAGACCTTGAAAAAGCCCGTTTTTTTAAACTACTACTCCCAGCTTCCCCTCGATAGTGCATTATGGGACTTGTAGTCCAAAAAAGGAACTTTTCCAAGCCCTATTTTAAGAGAGAAGAATCTGCATAACTCCTCCCTGAGGGTGGGAGAAGGGAGGGCTCCAATTGTTTTGGACTACAGCTCCCACCATGCTCGTGCTTGTTAGTGGAGTGCGGAGGGGCTGATGGGCGTTGTAGTCCCAGGGCTGTGGAGGGCCCGAGGGTTGCACACATCTGCTTTGCTCCTGCTTCCTGAGCGGGTGGGTGGCTGTCACGTCTTCAGCACAGGGTTCGCCTGCTTTCGGTGTGGAGGAAGCGAAACCAACCGCACCACGACCTGGTAACGCTTTTAAGTCGAACCGAATTATTTTTGCGAGATCTTTTCTGGATCGCAGCCTTCTTCCACAGATACAAAAAGTGCATTATTTAGGCCTTCAAGGTTGCTTTTCCAGGACAAGTTAAAAACAAGGGGCCAAATATTGACCGCTGCGACAAGCAGCGTGGATCAATTAAACCCTACGCCCTCTTCCTTGTCTTGGTAAATAGCCAGTCCTTGTAACTGTCACGGTCGGCCAAACGGCACGGAGAGTCGTCCCTCCCCGTCTCACTTGCCTGTGTCTAAACAGACAGGGCCAGGCGTGTGCTGGGATGGTCCAACAGAAAACGCATTGACTTCGTTGTTCTCTTGTGCCGTGCAAAAAGCATGTGGGCTGCATCACCAGAGGTTGCAAATTAAGCTTCTTGCAAGGGCGACCAACTAGTCTGGAAATGCTCGGATTGCAATCTAGAAATGCAGGGCGAACTCATAAATCTGAGCAATCCTTTTCCCTTTCAATGGCATACATCCCCTTGATTTAAATCAGTCCACTTTGCTTAAAGAAAGTACTCTTTTCCCTTCCCCTTGAGAGGTTGCACGGTGCTACGATGAAGGATTCCTTGACTGTCTTGTCTCGCATCCCGGCGCACCCAGATTCCCGATGCTGGTTTCTAGCTTGGAATCGTACTGGGACGCTTCTGGCTTCCTGTGGCGGGGACCGGAGCATCCGCATATGGGGGAAAGAAGGTAAGCATGTGGCGCCCGTTTGATTATGCCGCTGGAGTGGCGTGGGGTAGATGAAGAGGAGGTCTTCGGTTTGATGTATATTCTTAACTACAATGCCCGATATCCCCCAGCAGTCTCACACATACACCTGCTGGTTTTTCTTCTTGTTAGGGGAAGCCTGGGCGTGCAAGTCTGTGCTGGGTGAGGGGCACCAGAGGACTATCCGCAAGGTGGCCTGGTCCCCTTGTGGAAACTACCTGGCTTCGGCCAGTTTCGATGCCACCACCTGCATCTGGAAGAAGAATCAAGAAGATTTCGAGGTAACTGGAAACTGCCTTCAAGTTGCTTTGGAACTGATTATTTAATTGCTCTGCAGTCAGTGAAAATAAAGCTCTAGATATATCGTTGACCTGTGTTTCAGTAACCAATTGAACATTTCTGTCTTGACCAGTCTTACGGACCACAGGTGACAGAGATTCAACAGATAAATACTTGAAAGGTAGTCCTATAGACGGGAGATCCCCCCCCCAGAGGGCAGGACACTTAATAATGGGCTCAAGCTATAGGAAGCCAGATTTAGGCTGAATATCAGGTAAAATGTCTTAACTGTTAGAGCAGTACAAGACTGAAAGTGATTACCTTGGGAGGCAGTAAGTGCTCTAACACATTCAAGAGAAAATTGGTCAGATCTGCTTCGCTCTAACACATTCAAGAGAAAATTGGGCCACCCTCGGTCAGATCTGCTTTGACTTGGATTCCTGCCTTAAGCGCAGGGGGTTGGACTCTATGACCTTAGAGGACCTTTCCAACTCCATTTTCCTATGATTCACAGCCCATGAAATTCCTTGTGTTCAAATGGAATCCGTGAGCTGGAGATGCACCAACTGTAAACCAGTTATAGCAACTGGCGTGGCAGCAACATATTGCGAGACTTAAATGAAGCGAGTGATCGTGGTAGGATAAAGTGACATATCTCCGTGATCCATCAGCAGCGTCGGAAGTGTTTCTCAGTGCTTTATCGTCGCCTCTCTTTTCAGAAGGCCTCCCCTCTCGCTTCTCTTTCAGTGTGTTGCCACTCTGGAGGGCCACGAGAACGAGGTGAAGTCTGTCGCCTGGGCCCCTTCTGGGAACCTCCTGGCCACCTGCAGCCGAGACAAGAGCGTCTGGGTTTGGGAAGGTGAGAGGAGCCAGGGAAGCCACGGGGAACTTCAAGGGGCTTTTTTGGGGGGGGGGGTTTGAGCTGGCAAAGCGCGGCTCTTCCGGTGTCGCTGGGCTGGCACCTCCCAGCATTCTTGGCCCATGGCTTTGTCGCCTAGTGCTGACAGTAGCGGCAGTCCAAAAGCATCCCGGAGGGAGTGGCAGGTAGAAACTGAACCATCACAGAGGCTGTAGCTAAGTTTTTGTTTTCGGTTGTAGTACTTTTTCTCAATATGTGTATGTTTGTGATCTTGTTTGTTTTCCCCTGGAGGTGTTGACCGCACAGTAAAGTAAAAAGAAGGAAGAAAGGCTTGGCTCAATCCTTCCTCTCCCCCTCCCTTCTCTCTTGCAGTAGACGAAGAGGACGAGTACGAGTGCATGAGCGTCTTGAATTCCCACACACAAGACGTCAAGCATGTGGTCTGGCATCCCAATCAGGAGGTCAGTGTCACCCTCTCTTATGGGGCAGGTGGCTGAGATTCCCCCCGGACCTGTTCTCTCTAGCCCTAACGTGGGCATCTGACTTTTCCCCCCTGCTAGCTGCTGGCCTCCGCCAGTTATGACGACACCGTGAAGCTGTACCGGGAGGAGGAGGACGACTGGGTTTGCTTCTCCACCCTGGAGGGCCACGAGTCGACGGTGTGGAGCCTGGCTTTCGACCAGAGCGGGGAGCGCCTGGCCTCCTGCAGCGACGACAAGACCGTGCGCATTTGGCGCCAGTACAAGCCCGGCAATGAGCAAGGTCAGCGGCACGTGTCGGATTCCTGGGGGCGGGAATACCTGCAGAAACAGACCCGGGAGGGCCTTTCCAAATGGCCAAAGAGGTCCGCAAGACCCCCAGATCACTTCCTTGACAATATTTTGTGAGCTCACAACAAACCTGGGCTGATGTTAAATAAGGAGCCAGACCCATTTACTTGGCAAAAGGTGTTATGTGCTGCCAGCAGACAGGCCTCCCTCCCTCAGCTGGGAAAGCCCTGGTGGGTTCTTTATGGGATTTACATTTTTAAGACTGGCATAAGGCAATAGTGAGGAACCTCTTTTAACCCAAGGGCCTAATTCAAACCCAGGAAAATTTTGAAGGTTTGGATGCAGTTCCTCTCATGAACGCTAGCATCCTTCAGCTGAAACGTCTTGTTGCTGGTAACGGACCTCCAGGCAGCGGTATAAATAACTGTGCCGTTAAGTCAGTTGTGAGTTGTGTTGACCTTTTTCAGAAGTTTTCCAGATAGACAGTACTCAGAAATGGTTTACCATTCCAACGGACCTGCAGGCAGCCAGTATACATAACTGTGCCGTCAAGTCAATTGTGAGATGTGGTGACCCTTTTCAGAGTTTCCCAGACAAAAAGTACCAGGAAGTGGTTTACCATTCCTTTCTTCTGGGGCGGACCTGTGACTGTGCAGTTTGCCTAAGGCTACACAGGCTGGCTCTTTTCTCTGGAACCCCAGTTGGGAATTGAGCTCCCAACCTCTGGCTTTGCAGCCAGAGGCCTAACTTCCTAACCTATGCAGCCAGCAAAACGCCATTTGCATGCATTTATAATTGCATGCCGTTAAGTCCATTCTGAGTTATGGTGACCCTTTCCAGTTTTTTTTTTTTAGGTAGACAAGACACAGAAGTGGTTTCTCATTCCCTTCTTAGACTGCGCAGCTGGCCCAAGGCCACCCAGGCTGGCTCCATTTACAGGAGGCAGCCAGACCTAAACCACTGAGCTCGCCAGCCAGCCAGCCAGCCAGCCAGCCAGCACCAATAAAATATACAAGAGGTTGGAATCCACCCACTTGTGCTGTAATGGGCGTGACCCTCTGGGGAAAACCGAAGGATGCTGTTCAGCCCCTGGCGTCACATGGCTCATCTAGCTGAAGGCAAAGCAGGGAGGCCTCAGTTTGACAAGCCGTTTGTTTGTGTATTGCAGGTGTGGTCTGCAGTGGCACAGACCCTACCTGGAAATGCATCTGCACTCTTTCGGGCTCCCACACGAGGACCATCTACGATGTGGCATGGTGAGTAGGGGGAAGAGTCTCCGGAAGGAGCCTCTTCTAGATCAGGGTGGTTTAGAAAAACTCAGCCCTCTCCATGAAAGCAGCTGGAGGAGGTGGTGACAGCTACTGCAGCTCCCATCATCCCCTCACTCTCGGTTGATGGGCACTGTAGTACTGTCGCCGCCTTCTGAACCGTGTTGTGGGTTCCCTGTGAAGAATCGGTTGCCATCAAGTGTCGGAACAGAGCGTCGCCAATACGGGTGCTGTTCATCCTCCTCAGGTGCCACCTGACGGGAGCTTTAGCAACTGCCTGCGGCGATGACGCCATCCGCGTTTTTGAGGAGGACCCCCACTCGGATCCCCACCAGCCCATCTTCAGCCTGACAGCCCACGTGGCCCGGGCCCACTCCCAGGACGTGAACTGCGTCGCCTGGAACCCCAAGGAGCCTGGCCTGATGGCTTCGTGCAGCGATGACGGAGAGATGGCCTTCTGGAAGTACCAGCGGCCCGAGGTTTGCTGACACACTCGGCCTATAAAGTACTAGCACTGGAACAGTGGCGCCCACCCGGAGGGGGTGGGTGGGCGTGCGCTGGGTTGCACCCCTTCCAGAGAAGCCAATGAATAGGTGGAAGACATGCTTGCTGTGCAAACCTTGTCCACATGTCCAGATTTAATATCTCGGGGGAAAAGATGCTGGCTCTCGTTAAGCAGGGGAAGCTGGTTCTTCCGTAAAGATTCATCATCATACTCAGCACCCCACACTACGCATGCCAGTGGGATAATTCTTGTCTTTCTCTGGGTAAAGAAAACACTTCACCTGTGGAAACTTGTGTTTATGTGACCGGGAGAATGAAGAGACAAGCCGTACCGCTCGTGCTTTTGACTTTCAAGATGTAGGCAGGCGTGGGCCCGGCGGGCAGTTGCTGGTTTGCAATATTATATGTAAAACCATAAAAAATGTTGGATGTTCCTGGTTGTGCTCTTGCATGTTTGATACATTCTGCATAACAGAGCAGCTTGGAAAAAACAGTCTTCCCTTCCCCTCTCCCTGAAGCCTTAAGCCGCCGTGGCAGTTTTTCCCACTTCTGATGGAGCCAAAAGTGTTCCCCTAGTTGAGGGGGAGGTGGCTGGCTGGCAGAAAGTGTCACATCTTGCTGGGGAAGGTCTCCCTCTTCCCCCCCCCCCCATGGTCCAGAGGTCACACTTCCTTCAGGTCCCTGAGGGAAAGATTTCACCCTCATTTCTTCCCAGGTCTAAGGAAGTGGTGTCAAGCCAAAGGCCACACAGCTCACTGTGGGAAGGAATTAAGAACCTTGGCAGGCTGTCTCTCTCCACCATCGCCAAAATGTGGGCCTGAGCCGGACAGAGCAAAATAATGCTCCACAGCTCACCGAAACATGCTCCTTCCCTTCAGTCCGGGTGAAGCTGATTGTTTGCAAGCTGCAAAAATCTTTTTATCAACCCATTGCAACATACAGCATGCCAAGAAAGAAAAGAAAAAGAAACATGCATTGATTTTTTGCAACCAAAATAAGCCTGGGGCAGTGGTTCCCAACCTGGGGTCCCCACATGTTCTTGGGCTGCAACTCGCAGAAATGCTGGCCAGCCCAGCTAGTGGGTGAAGGGCTTCTGGGAGACTTAGTCCAAGACCACCTGGAGACCCTGTAGTTTGTTCCCTGCATCTGAAATAAAAAGACTGAACTCTTTTCATTCCAGACCAGAGGAGGGGCCATAGAGATGGTCTCACATTTGGAGCAGAAGGCAAGCAAGTGCCACAACATGATGAGGGAGGGACTGACAAATGTTGGGATCCATCCAGAACAGCCTCCCAACAACAGGAGGGCAGAGTTTGTTCCTAAAAGATTTATTGGGAAAAACACAAGCAGGAGCTCTACAGAACCAACTCAGCTCACTTACACAAATTACTGTACACAGAACTGGGTGCTGAGTTTTTTTAAAATGAAATTTCTTCAGGTGCTTGCTCTAGAACAATTAGACCATCTGAGATAGAACACAGAGCTGATAAAAGCAGGACCACTGTGAGTTAATCTCTACGGCTGCTTGGAGGCTTGGGTGGAAGCAGGGAAAAGTCCGGTAATCAAAACCAGTGAAATGTCCTCCCGGGCAGCCAGAGGGGCCGCCCTGTCTGAAGAATGCTCAGAACGGGGTGTGCGCTGGTCCTGCCGATCTCTTATCCAGCTCCCCACTCAGTCGGAATCGCTGTCGCTCTCGGCCTCTTTGACATCCACGCTGAACTTGTACTCCTGGTCACAACCCATGTAGGCGTCGCTCATGAAGTAGAGGGTGTAGTTGTGGGTTCCGGTGGCTGGTGCCACAAAGTCCAGTTTCACCTAAACACAAGGCAGCACTTGTGAACTAGGGCTCGCTCTGCAAGCCACATCAATCAGGGCTGCACGGTGCACCCAGGGCTCTCCCAGAAAGCCCCCTGAGGCCGAGAGTCTCCCTTTTAAGTCTCCTTTCATCCCTCCCTTCTCCTCGCACCTTCTGGATGCCCAGCCCTGCTCAAAAGGTAAGAGGGACAGGGTTCCAAGTACACCAGGCAAGGAAGGGGTGGGGGAAAACACCCTGGAATACAGGCATATTGTTGAAAAATGTATTCAAGTATCTCAGCCAGTCTCGGGTGCAAAACAGGACACACGAAACCATTTGGGAGAGGTTTACAAAGCCTTCTTCACACCCTGACAACCTTTATGTCTCACTTCCAACGTTCAGATCCCACTGGCTGGACAGAAACATACAAAGCTTCTGCAACCCTAACACAAAGAGCCACAGCCATCTGGCAGTTTCAAGCAATGCCGGAAAGCAATAGAATTTGCCCCTGGAAAGAGAATCCTGGCCCTCGTTTTAAAGCAGGCCGATTCCTAGGTCTTGGGACCGCAAAGCCACGACTGACTGCCGGGGATATCAGGTGTTAGGAGGAAGAAGCTGAGCCTTTTCACATCTCAACAGTGGGCCTTTGGTACCCTGGAGATTTCGCAGCCTTGTCTGGGACTAGCAACGTCAATCTGATCCGAAGGGGCCCAAGACGTACGTTTGCACACAGGGCAAGAATCCTTCTCTTAGGAACCGGGTTGCCTAGGGGCACGCACAGGAAGTGCCTCGCCTAGACCGATGCTAAGCCTCAAACTGGGGCGACTTGAACACAGGTGAAGAAAGTCCGTCCACGGAGGAGCAGCTGGGTCGGCTGTAGCCAAGCCCCTCCTCTTACTTTTGGCTGGAGAAGAACACCGCCCCCTCCACACCCCTCTCTCTTTGGCTCTCAACTTATTTTACACAGGTGACTGCTCCTGGTTCACAGGGAGAGGTCCATGAAACCAAACAACCAGGATTCTCCCCTTGCTGGACGCTTGAGCGGCCCTTCTCTGGTCCAATCTCTCTCTCCCTTTGGCCACGTTGCCTCTAAAGCAGGTCGGATGCCGGAGCCCCGGTGGAGCTCACCCTGGCCCAGCCCAGGGCTCAGGAATGCAGAATCGCCCCACCACCAAGGAAAGAGGGTGCCGGGGCGGCTCCCCCATTCACTCACCTTGGCCTTCTGCTGCAGCGTCAGCCTCTTGATGGAGATGAGGCTGTTGGATTTGGAGTCGCCGATCACCACCCACCAGCCCTCCTCGCGTTTCTGAAAAGAGGAAAGAAGAGAGCGTCAGGTTTGCCAAGGGCTGGACCGCTCCCGCCAGGCTGCGTCCTCGGGGGCGGCACCACCAGAAGGCCGGCCGACAACCCTCCACCAGCGTACCTGAGGGAAGAGTGGTGCAATCACCGGCCCGGTGACTTCCTCCTCTCGCTCCAGCTGTACCAGCACCACCACGGGGCCTCCGCTGCGGAAAGAAACCAGGGGAGACCTTAGGCTCAGTCCCACCAGGGGGTGGCATCCCCACCGAGTCCGGCCAACTTACGCCCTCGCACGCGAAGAAAAAGGCCAGGAATCTGCAGGAGAGCAAGCCAGCACGGTGCGCTCCCGCCTCCAGAGCAGGATCCTACCCAGCACAGCTTTCTTGGAAACCACAGACGCCGTGTCCACAGGCCTTGTGGTGGCCAAGAAAGCCCTCCTGAGAGCGCAGCCTCTAGCTAGACACCAGAGTTAGACAGCGAGCTTTACGGCAAGGGTTTCTCAAACAGTTGTGGATGGGAACATAGGTGGGAGGCAACAGCCGTCGCAGTGGGATACGGGTGGTCATCCCAAGGGTCAATCATCCTCCCACCGACCCACTGACTCCATCTCCCCGGGGTTCTCCATCTGTGGCCTTCTCATCACAGCGGAACTTCTGCTGTCTTGTTTCGGGGCGCAGTGCCTCGAGGCGCAGTCGTTAAACTGCTGTCCTGCAGCCAAGATCCTGCTCACATCCTAGGTTCAAATCCCAGGTAGCCCGCTCAAGGTTCACTCGGCCTTCTATCCTTCCAAGGTCAGTCAAATGAGTGCCCACCTCGTGGGGGGTGGGAGGCAACAGGTAGCCTCTACAACTGAATTTTAAACCGCCCAGAGAGAGCTTTAAGCGTTAGAGGGGCTGGTCTATAAGCAGCCTGCTTTGCTTTTCCCCCTCTCTGTGCAAGTCCCAGCCTCTCCATGCACTCGTTATGGCCTGTGTCCATCTTGCAGGTCTTCACCCATCCAAGAAGCAATAAGACTATACAGGTGAAACACAGGATTGTCCAAGTGGCCACCTCGGGGTTATCGGGGGCGACAGTCTGATCCCGGTACCTGCGAATGCCATCCTTCTCCACCACCTCGTAGGAAAGCTCGATGTTGGGGTAGCGGTTGCAAAAACGTGCCACGTCGGCAATCTGCGCGTCAGAGAGCTGCAGCAGGGCGTTGCGATCCTCGTCTTCCATTTCCATGATGTCAAACACGCTCTCCACTCCCTGCGGAACGGAGACGGGGTGAGCGAGAAGCCCGAGGAGCTTCAAGAGAAGGGAGTCCCCCCCCTCCCGCTTACCTCCCTTGCAGCCAGCCCCCAGGCTTACCTTCTCCGTGCAGCGCTTGATGTGCTCGGACGTGAAGTGCGGCAGCTGCTTCAAGTAGGAGTCCTTGGACCACATGGCCTGGGTGACCATCTGGGCCAGCTCCATGGCTGCCAGGGCCGGGCTCAGCCAGCCGTTGCTGGAGAGGACGTCCACGCAGGCCTGGATCAGCCGAATGGCCTGGGGGGGAAAAGATACGCCAAACCGGTTTAGCTCTCCAGGCACCAGACCCACTAGGAGGCGGCTTTCATTTATTTATTTATTTATTTATTTACAATATTTTTTAGCCGCACCATTGCCAGTGGCTTTCATCTCTCTTTCTCTCTCCCTGGGCCAGAAGAGGCTGGGCTAGGAGCGAGCCAGTACTGGCCCACCTACGCTCTTTCCAGGGATGGGAACTTGAACTGCAGGATTCACTGTCACGTTGGAGGGGAAAATCATACTGGCAATTCGAATCAGGTTTGTTTGTTTTTCCCCAATGACTCAGACTTGACGACTCATGGCTTGGAACCCACCCACTCCTCCCCTTTTTACTGAGGATAAAAAGCTTGTTTTTAATAGGGACTTGGGACCCAAGAACTCAAAATTCAGAACCAAAGACTTGCCAACTTCCTTGACTCTCCGTTCTCCCAAACCTTCCCCATCACTGCCGAAGAATAACAAAGAGCATGGACTATTCTGTAAAGCTAGATGCTCTGCCCTGATTTAACCCTCCAAAAACTGAATTTTGTTTCTATTTATTGGAAAAAAAAAAACAAACAAACTATAGTGAACCTTCAAAAAAATCTCCTCTTAAAAGGCACAGACACCATTTTTGGAGATGAGGGGACCTGCAGTGGGTCTTGGGGTGGGAGGGAAGAGACCCACTCACCCTGACCTCC